CGCAAGAAATGGAGGTGGCCAAGACAGGGTCGATGGAAAGAGAAGGGACGGACACCCACGGGGAAGTGCCCTCTCCTCCCCACGGCGCCTTCCCTCCCCTAGATGCCGGACACAGGAACGCCAAATCGGAACCGGTGGGGAAGTGGGGCCACCAAGCAGGAAACACCAGAAGAAATGACGGGGAAATTGGCACTTTGGGCAAGAGCCCAGCAGTAGCACTCGCTCACCTCACTTGGATGGACCCAACTTCCGGTCGCGATTACCGAGGGGCAACATGGCTATACGCGGAGAATTCGGTGTGGCTGCATGTATCTCGGCAGTACCGTCATCCCTGGCACGCTTCTATCGACAGTGGCGTTGCGCCGTCCCGCCGTTGGCTCCGAGAGGCGCCCGTCTTGTTAGTGCTCTTGTTCTCTCTGCTTCTCTTCTGCCCAGTGTTTATTCGTACCGCACTCAAGCACCACTTCATCGCGTGCAGCAGCGTTACATCCGTGGTTAACCCGGAGAACCATCGACTGACCTTGGGACCGATTCTTGTTGATGGACCGCATCCTCAAGGTTCTTTTCCCGCTGCAAACAAGAAACCGAGCAGACAGCACGCCCGGCACTGCCAATGTCGACATTCCGACCGTCTGCAGATCGGAAAAAAACGCCTTCGCCCCTCCCCACCGTCGGCACTTGTTCCGCTTGGCAAAAACTCTTCTTCGTATCCAGCCCCTCGAAATGTTTTATAAACATTTTGGTTTTCGTATATGAATAATGCAACCCTCCACCGGGATGTGTCATGTCCGCCAAAGACACCATAAACCCTCATATAAACTCAAAAAGCCCCCGTCCCTGAATTTTATACTATGCAAGCATTCATTCGTCGAGTCAACCTTTTAATATCCGTCTCATCTTACCGGCGGCACCCAACTCATGCTTAACTCTCCTTTTTTCTTCCATCTCAACTTTTGCTTCGACTGACACAAACTCTGCTGCATCTGTCTGAATAATGGCTGCAGCTTTTCTTCTTCTTCCAGCCAGAGATCACGAGACGGTCGAAAGACGCTAACTCTCACATGACGCCATGCCGACTCCATCGCCAGCACATGTCCCCCGCCTGCGCCTCTTGGCCGCACCTTTCGCTTCCTTCTCCATCGTATCTTCTCCTCTCCCCCATCTCCCCCGCATTTCTACCCTGGTCCCTCCCAACGAACCCCTGTCTTACCCCTCATCTCCCTCCCCCGGCCTCCTCCCCATGATCCATCGTCAAAAAATTGGCCCACTGTCCACAAGAGCTCCGGGCAACCCACATTCGCACTTTCCCTCGCCCATTCGCGAATCACGCCCGTTGCCAAGGAGCGGGACCCCCGAGTCTTTCGGCCCGTTTACTAATTGTTGGAGTAGCTTCATCGTCGAGAGGGGGAGCCCGAAGACGAGAATGGGGCACCGCCGTGAAGAGCAACTCGCGTCGCCTAGTGTCGCTGCAAAATCCGGTTGGTTTGATGCAATGCTTGCGGCAGGCAGAGCGTAGAGCAGGTAACGTTCCAAATGATGTCTCGAGTGCCCTCTCTGTTCCGTCCCAAGACGGACGTCAACCATAAACAAGGTTGGTTCAATATGTCTCACCAGCGCCCAAACCCGTCACCAATCAGGCCAAGACGTGCGTGGCTGGGTTCGGTGAGAAATAAGCCGCAGGAAAAGAAGCTTAGTAGACTACCTTGGCTAGAGAGACTACCTTTTCTGTGATCTCATACCCTGCCCGACTGTCGTTGTTGTCGCTGTCGTCCCGACTGCCTCCATCGTTATTCCTCCTACGATTGTGCTTGATCGAAAGATTATTTTCAGGTTTCAAAAGTTCACAGGCAAATCGGCCGCGCAGACGCAGAGGATTAGGCAGTCTCGCAGGAAAGGAAGCTTAGTAGTCTAAGCTGAATTATCTCTGGATCATCCGCACTATACCAGATCATAAGAGCTGTATTGCGCCTTCAACTAGCATGAATCTGCTACAATGAGGTCCATTTCCCCGCCTGAAGCTACCAACGCCACATGCGCAACCGTTGCCCAACGCCAATTTGCTAGACGCCAACCGTCGTAATGCTCCACGACTCAAAGAAACGGCCTGAAGAGGTTCCTATCCGTCTCCATAGCCCGGCCCGGATTTCCGATGGCATGTCCAAGATTTTGTGGACCCTTAGTAAATGCCAGGCAAGATTCTCCACCTGACAATCTTCTTGTATTTCTCCCAGTCCTCGCCGTACTTGCGCGCGCACTTCTCGTCGTCGCGGCGGTCCCGGTGAATCAGGAGAATCGCAAAATACAGGATGTAAAAGAACGTGAAAGGTATTCCCCATCCTCGTGCCGCACCCTGGATGACCTCGCGACCATCGGCCATCTTGAACGCCCCCTCGACACCAGACTGCACGAAGCCGCTGCCAGCCGAGACGATCGTGTATCCTGCCATACCGGTGGGCAAGCCGTAAGGCCACGCTTGCAGCCAGTCGCCGAGATAGTTGATGTGGCGGGCAACACCCCACCAGCCGGTGATAAGGAGGCGAGTGCCTGCCTTGGTCTCGATGTACTTGAGATGGGAAACGCTCGGGTCATCTGGGTTGTTGCGGAACGCGTTCTTCTGGCTGTTGGAGGCGCGGAAGATGAAAAAGGCGACACCGATAATGCTTGCGATTCCGGCCATACCGAGCGGGCTGACCGAAACGGGATATACAGCGAGGTACTTGGCTTGAAGGGAGTACATGAACGGGAGCCATGCGACGTCGCCGAATGAAAGCATGAAGCCGAAGCCATCAGTAATAATGTCGATCGTGGTCAGAATCGCAGGCTCGTTGTACCAGCAGTCGATGACATAGACGGTCTGGACAATGGAGACAAAGACAATGCTGTTTGAAACGAAGCCGTAGGTGCGATACTGCTTGGCCATCCAAGCGAAGTTGATCAGAGACCAGCCGAGCAGGCCAGGTCGGACCTCCATGAACTCCTTGATGTCGATCTCTCCAATGATGGGCATCGTTACGCGGGGGTTCAGTTCTCGCCCGATGAACCAGTCGTAGATCAGGTTGCCAGAGTGTCCACCCTCAGCTAGCTCGCGGCTCTCGACGTTGCCAGGCTTGACGCTAAAGCTTCGAACGTAGACGAATGTGGCAGCACCGAACGCGACCAGCATATTGGCAGTAACGACCTGGATGTAGTTCTCCGTGATGAAGGTCCAAACAGGGAACTCGGCGCCCTGGGCGATGGTGCCGGCGGCGCAGAGAGTCAAGATGAACATGCCAGAGGAGAAGGCTGCGTTTGTCAGTAACAGGAGCAGTTGGGGAATATGGCGTGTTGCGTACAGTTGAAGCGGTACTTGAGCCTGCCGCCCGAGGCAAGCTGGACGCCCTCGACCTCAGTGCCAGGCAGGAAGCGGTAGAGGAGTGCATTGAAGAAGTAGTATCCCAGAACGGCGGCGTTGACCTTGTTGTCTCCAAGACCCCAGATTCCTTCAGCGGGCCATCCAACCTCGCGCTTCAGCTGGGAAAGAGTCAAGTTCTTCGGGTCGAGCAGGGAAGGCGCGGGGCAGCCGGACACATCGTTGCAAGCGAAAGCAAAGACGTAGACAAGAACGGGAAGGATGATGGAGATACCAAAGGTTCCAATACTGTTAAGTAAAATCAGTAAACGTGACGCGATTGAGGTTGGCTAAGACAACTCACGGTCCACCAAAATGATAGCCATGCGCCTGCGGCGGCGGCTGCTGTTGCTTTACCGCGACTTGCGTGTCCTTGGCCATGTTGCGCGGTGGTGTTGATGCTAGGAGGAAGTCGCGTTGCCTTATTGTGGGGTGAAAAGAGCTATGCACAGCTGCAGCGTGCTGTTATTTGTAGTGTTTGCACCCGCGCGGCAGGAATACGAAGACGAGCCGATAGCAAATTGTCAGCCCCAATATCCACGACGGTGTGGAGGCTGTGAATACAATCGCGAGGTGTTTTGCGCCGGAGCTATGGGATTCCGAGTGACCTCATGGGGCGGGTTCAGCAGAGGATTCGATGACGCTAATACTGCGATCCGAGCTTTGCTTGATTGGATCCCACGCGCGTGGTGGTTGAAACGGTGGAAGGTGCCCCCGGAGGAATGGTTCCACCGAGAGCACGGCCACGGGAAGACATGCAACAGCATCGGATGGTATGAAGTCTGGAAGCCCGTTTGAGATGGAATAAGAGAATTTAAGATTCAAGCTCTCAGAGTCTGTGTATGCATGAAGAATAAGATATGTTTAATGTGATTCGGCAATGGCTCGCAGGATGAGGTCCAGATCTTCCCGTCTTACAGCAGATACGCGATGGAAAGGTACGTACCACTACTCTTCGAAAGGAGCATCGGACATCGGCGTTTGCCAAGTGCCCTTTCCTGGAGGTGCAGCCCTGCTTATGAAAGCAACGGGACGAGTCCTTAGGTAATCTCCCCAGGTTGAGTACATAGGACCTGCATGACACGTGACCTTGTCCATACCGGTCGCGGAAAGAGTGTCCCGCAGGGCAGGCTGCAGGCAGCCATTGGAAGCTGTCGGGTCCCTTAGGGAAGCCTGTACGGTGGCCCCCGTGGGACCTGAATGCAGCCTGGTGCAGAGGGGCGGACGCTGCAAGGAGCGCCCATCCACCAATCAATGCACCCCCTCCCGTCACTCCCGTCCCCCGTCGGCATCTCCCTGTGAAAGGCTGACGAATGACCAAGTGGCTTCCCACTTGCCCAGCGTCCAAATCCTTCAAACTGTCCTCCGAAGTGCCTCTCGACCACATTTACGTCTTTGTCCATCACCGTCGCACGGCACTGCAGCATCGTTCGCTTCATTTCCACTTCTCCAGAGATTTGCAGCATCCGCAATTGATGTCATAGGCCCCGAGCCGACCCATGCTTCTCCGCGCTCCGAAGCGCTTACTCCCGAAAACACGACCATTCCAGTCGCGCTCCCTGGCCTGGACCCCTTTCATCGATATTAGAACGACTCAGAACCATCCATTTTGATGCATTCCTCCAACTTCCTGCTGCTCCTCGCAGCAGCCGCGACCGCGAGCGCCGCCGACACTTCGACCTCGAGCACATCCAGCAGCGTCCCGGCATGCACGGCAGCGTCCAAGAGCGGGACCGGCGGGCCGTTCTACGACCTGCGTCCAGACATCGCCGTCAAGGTTGAGGAGGGCAAGTCATCCAAGGGTGCTGTCACGACCGACTACCATGCTAGAGGCTGGGACTATGGCAAGAACTTCACCCTCAATATTTGCGCTCCCGTCATCGACCCTGTCGAAGACGTAGTGGGGTTGGGCAAGGGCGAGTCCAAGAACGTCAGCGCGTACTACACATACAAGACCGAAACTTTCTCCATAGGGTTCGTTGCCTCTGCTCTCGCATGGTCAATTCTGTTCAAACTAACAAATGCGCGACGTAGTCAATCCAACATGGACATACAAACCCGCGGGCGCATTCTCGTCCTCCAATACAAGAACGGCTCTCCCTGCGGCGAGAGCAAGTCCAAGCGAGCAACGGCCCATGACGGCGCTTCCTACAACAGATACGCCGACGATGAGGACAGAACCCTCATCGCACCGTCTGCAGTCGGCAAGAAGAAGGCCTCGGCAGAAAAGGACGATACGCCAACCCGTCGCAAGTCGGCAACCATCTCCTTCCACTGCGACACGGAACAGATTGGTGGAGCAGCCCACATTTCCTTCGTCGGCTCAGATCCCGACGACTGCGCCTACTTCTTCGAGGCCCGTTCCCAGCACGCTTGCGCCAGAGCCGAACCCCACCAGCCTGGCAGCGTCGGACCCGGCAGTGTCTTCGCCATCATCTTCGTGATCGCCGTGCTTGTATACTTTGGTGGTGGTGTGTTCTACCAGCGTACTGTCGCTCATGCCCGGGGCTGGCGGCAACTGCCCAACTACAGCCTCTGGGCCGGCATCTGGGGGTTTGTCAGTGTATGTAGACCTTCGCGCTACTAGTGGTTGAGGGGAACTAACACCAGAAACAGGACATGTTTGTCATCGCGACCTCTTCATGTGCTCAACTTCTGCCAGGAAGGCGTGGCTACCGTCATCTGTCCGGATCTCCCAGCAGAGGACGTAACCGCGAGGACGAGAACCGTCTGATAGACCAGCTGGACGAGGAGTGGGACGACTAGGTTCGTGCGAGTGTGTAAAGGCATCAGCGCCTCATCTTTCCTTTTCTATCACTGCGTATTCGAATTCTATCAGGGGACGAACGTGAGTCGCAGGCAACCACCCTAGATACCCCGTGCGAAAACAAAATGCATAGACGATTTATGGCTTTCGAGTTGCGTTCAGACGGTGAAAATTATAACTACTTTTTTGGATGTGAACCGAGCTTCTAATGCTACAGCCCGGCCCGAAGCCGCTCGGCAAAGTCCTTGACTGTGGTTACGATATCCGCATCTTGGGCCAGCCCGAGTTGAAGAGCTTTTGAAACGTCAAACAAGGCCGGCCAGCTCCCGACGATAGCCTCGATTTGCGGGTTTCGCTCCTCCGTCACCCTCGCCCGAGCCTCCATCCCCCCGACAACTTCCAACGCATTCAAGATATCTGCCACTGTCACGGTGATACCCGGCAGATTGACCACCCTCGACAGCCCAAAGTTCTCCTTCGGGATGTCCTTCACAGCGACCAGGTTCGCAACAACCGTCCTCGGCGAGCACACCCACATGGCCAGCTCCGGGCCCACGGGCAGGATGTTATCCTCCCCCTTAAGCGACTCCCTCACGATCCCCGACGCAAAAGACGACGCGGCGGCGCTGGGCGCTCCGGGGCGGACGATGATGGTGGGCAGTCTGACAATCCTGCCGTCTAGGAGCCCGCGGCGGGAGTAGTCCCCGACCAAGGTCTCGATGATGAGCTTCTCGGCGCCGTACGAAGATTGCGGCGTAGGACACGTTGACTCAGTGACGACCTGGCCCCCAACTGGGCCGTACACGGCGAGCGAACTGGGGAACACCACGACAGTCCCGCGATGAGGCGAGGTGGGCTGCCGGAGGGCGTCGAGGATGTACCGGTGGCTATCGAGGTTCACGCGCAGCCCGAGGTCGAGGTCCGCCTCTGCGCCGCCGGACATGATGCCATGGAAGAGGTAAATTGCGTTGAAGCGCGAGTGGTGCGTAAGGAGCGCGGCGACGGCATCGGGGGATGTGAGGTCTGTCTGGAGGGCCGTAATGCGTGAGGCGCCATCTGGGACGATGGATTGCGGGGGGATTGGCGGGGTTACTACGTCGGTGATTGTGAGGTGGATTGTGGGGGAGGAGAGGAGGAGGGCCGTTGTGAGTTCCTGGCCGATGAAGCCCGCGGCTCCCGTTATGAGGATGTGGTTCGCTTCTGAGTTCATCATTTTGCGGTGTTGATGAGGTTGAGGTGAGTTGAGTTGAAATTGAATAAGTGGTGATGATGTAGGTGACGGTGAAGGTCAGAGGGTATGACGTAGGTGTTACATGAGATGGTCGCCCGCATCAAAGGAATTCAGACATGAACAGAAAGCTATGAGGACAACTTTATGAAGCTCCAAGTTTACACTTCACGATAATACCTCGATTACAATGTGCATTATTCCGACATGAATGACGGCCCTCAAGTCCGAATATCGGCTTTCTCTCCGATGTGGCTTTCATCTGTGGCTCTCTGCGGCGCAGGAGTTTGTCATCACTTCACAAAGCTTCGGGCGATGTCGACCGAGCAGAAAGACGCTAGGGGGAGCCAAAACACTCCCCCGAAAAGATCCATAACGTCGTCTGGGGAAAGTTCTTAGCTCGTCAGGATGGCCTCTCGGGTAGAAGACCGTCTACCCCGCGGTGCCGTGTGACCCACGTCGGGATGGGGACAAGATCCACCTCGAGCAGACCTCGAGCAGCGGTCCGGGGACTTTCGGTGGCGGCGCGGACTTTCAGGGAGCATGGCTTGATGTGTTCTGCTCAAGGCGCCCTGTCTCGGTTACAGACAGGACGAGGGAGGGGCTGGGTTTGCAGTTGTCTTACGACTTGACCGTGAGTCCCACGCTCCCTTTCGCTATTCAACGCAACGAGCACGAGGCCGATGAGCTGGTTAAGGGGCAACAACCATGTGAGAGAGACATGGGCTCCGAGGCATTATGAGGGAATGGCGAAAGATAGCGTCAGAGAAGGCGGCAGGCTGCCGGAAGCATGGCATGATGTGATGTTCTTATCACTCAAAGAGCATCGTTGCATTGAAAGGTTCGTGGACCATGAACCCCTGACTACTGAACTAAACTACACACGAGTGGCAGTATCTTGTGCCCGAGTACCTGGGCGCCTCTCAGAAAATTCGTGGAACTCTGCCTCCGGCCCAATACCATTCTTGGCGTCTACGTCGAGATCTCCCAGGCGATTCGTGGCAAGATCGTCGCCAAACAGCTCCGCAATCTCCTCCAGCGACTTTCCGGACTGGCTCCTAGTGTTAGCGAGGTATGGTTAGTTGGGTAAGGCCTAGGGTCACATACCGTCTCAGGGAGAAAGAAGAAGTAAAAGACGGCCGCGGCGAGGTTAGTTGCGATGAAGAGTGAGTAGTACCTAGAAACCGTATTAGTAAGGTATGGAGCGAGGCGCATATCAGAAGGACTGGCTGACCTCCAGCTGACAGACGCAATGGCAAGAGGCGTAATCTGCGAAAGCACGATAGCGGTGACGGACTTCGTCGCGACCGCAAAGGCGAGACCCTTAGTACGAAGGAAGAAGGGGAACAGCTCCGAAGGCACGACCCAGATCATGGCGTTGAAGAAGATTGCGTAGCACATGGAGTAGACGAAGATGGCCGCGATGGCCGCTCTCGCTCCGGCAGCGTTGTCGTTGTCCTTGTTGCCGTACACCGCGCTCAAAGCCATGCAGAGAGCAATCATGGCGCTCAGTACGAGAGAGCCGCTCCAGAGGGTGCGCGTTCGTGGCCAGCGGTCCGCCACCACTGCCAGGTAGATAACCTGGCCTGTGATGCCCATCATACCATACGCACCGCTGATAAGCAAAGCCGTTCGACCTGTAAATCCAACGGTCGCGTAGAAGATGTTTTGGAAGTTTTGAATGACGGAGGAACCACTGAGCTGGCCCATGGTGACGATGAAGGCGGCCGTGAGAGTGCGACGGACGTACTGGCGCGAGAACATTTGCTTGATGGCCGTGGCCCAGTTCATGTTGCCCTGTTGCCTCTCCATCAAGATCTGCTCCCTGATCTGGATGAGCTCTCGTTCGACCAGGTCGTCGTTATCCGTCGCCCCGTGCAGATTGGCCAGAACCGTCTTGGCTTCTTCGTACCGGTCCTTGAGAATCAGCCAACGGGGCGAGAAGGGAACGAAGAACAACATGACGGAGAGGACAAGAGGGATGGGGAGCTGCATCGCCAATGGGATCCGCCACTGTCCATCTCCGGAGGCAAAAGCCCCAGCAAACCCGACCCAGTTAGCGATTCCGAAACCAATGGCAATCATCATTCCCTGTAGTCCGACGAGAAACCCACGACGGGCAGGCGGTGCGACTTCGGCAAGGTAGATGGGAACAACGGAGAGAAGCTCGCCGCATCCAATGCCTGCTATCAGACGTCCAGCAATCATCATTCCAACCTCCATGGTAGCGCATTGGAGAACGGACCCAATGATGGTCAGGATCGATGCAATAAGAATCGTATACTTTCGGCTGAATCTGTCGGCGAGATATCCGGTCGTCATGCCGCCGATGGCCTGGCCTGCGTTGTAGACGGAAACGATTGCACCTGTGTACGCTGTGTTGACCATAGAAGGCCCGTACATCTTGAGCTTGAAACTGTCATGGCCGAAAGTTGTGGCAATAATTCCTGGATAGAGTTAGCCAGGTTTTTTCTCCTAGACTTGGACGGTTGTCTACCAGAATCGAAGCCGTAGATGAAGCCGCCCTGCGCAGCGACAAGCGCTATGGGGACGATGAGGAAGTTCATGCTGATCAAGGTATCTAGTGTGGAGAAGAAGGACGTCTGGGGAAGAATGGTTCCATCATGCAAGTGGAAAATCTGGGGTTTTGCTTATCTGCTTTTGTGTGTTTTTGCCTCCCTTGTACCTCGTAGATGATTCGGTGCAAAGGTAACCCGACGGCCTCGGTACTATGTGAGCAACAACCCAAGAGTCTGGGACCAGTATCAGCAGCCCACGCAAGGATCGTCTCATTGTTGTAAGGTAGTACCGAGATCGCGAGGGAGGTGAACCTTAGCTCCTGCGGGGATGCGGAGACTCCGCCGGCGAATCGTGCTTGCTCGGGTTATTCCCGTCATCCAATCCTTTGCATCACGGTATCAAGCCGCATCTCGTGCTTGGCAGATGCGGGGAGATGCCCGGTGATCTTCGTATGCCGATGCCGTTATCCCTCGACTCCAAGAACTAACATCTCGCACCTAGACTCCCCGATGCGGACTCCTTTGCACCGGGAGAGTGATCATCTTAGCACAGGTGAAGACCCTTTAGGCTGAGAATATTTCATGTAATAGTTTCCTGAGAAACATGAGCCCATGGACAGCAAGCCAACATTGACGATACGTCCGAACCATGTCTTGTCCCACCATCACCAAGCCGGTGTTTGAACACCACCACAGCGGCCTTGGTGTAGAGTATTCCAGACCCAGAATCTCCTGGCAATTCGAAACAACAAAAATAACGGTCGCAGCTTGGACCCAAACCGCCTACGAGCTTGAGGTCACTTTCACTCCAAATGGCGAGCCCCAAATCTTCCGTGAAACCAGCGACCAATCCGTCTTGGTGCCTTGGCCAGCTCGAGATTTGGCTTCGCGAGACTCCGCCATAGTTCGACTTCGTGTATACGGAAAGAGTCTCAGCGACGACGCATACAAGGCCGAAGAGCCAAGCCCGTGGTCAGAGCCGGCCACTGTCGAAGCCACTCTTCTGAAACGAGAAGACTTTCGAGCCAACTTCATCACGTCCTCCGAGCAGATCGGTCCCCATGGACCGCTACGGCCTATTCGATTCCGCAAGGAATTCACCATCCCTGATAACATCAATCTCGACAACTCTTCAGCAAGACTCTACATCACTTCTCTTGGCGTCTTTGAAGCCACCATCAACGGAAAGCCAGTTACAGATGAGTGCATGGCTCCTGGTTGGACCAGCTACCGACACCGGCTCGTCTACCGCATCCTTGATGTGAAGAACCTTCTACTTCCTGGCAAGAAAAACACAATATGCGTTGAGGTAGCCGAGGGCTGGTATGCTGGACGCCTTGGGTTCAAGGGCGGTATTCGCTTCCGCTATGGTGACGTGATTGGCCTGTTTGCGCAGCTTGAGGTCAGGTCCCTGTCAGCTGAGCCGTGGGCACTTTTGTCGGACGACACCTGGTCTTCTCTCTCCAGCGCGATTACGAACAGTGAGATATACGACGGCGAAACATACGATCTGAACGAAGAGAAGCAAGGATGGAACCTGACAGATGCAGACTGGTCCAAGGCACTTGGGACAAAGGCCCTCCCATGGCCACAGACGAAGCTGGTTGCTCCTGACGCGCCGCCTGTTCGTGTGATCGAGACCAAGCCCTGTGTCAAAGTGTTCCAAAGCAAGAGCGGCAAGGCGATCCTAGACTTCGGGCAGAACCTCGTCGGAAAGCTCATCATCAGGTCCCTCCGACTAGAAAAAGGGGCAAAGGTTACGTTCAGACATGCTGAAGTCATGGAGAGCGATGAGCTTGGTACTAGGCCTCTCAGGGACGCCAAGGCCCTCGACACTATCATCGGTTCGGGGCAGGAAATTCGAGACTGGACGCCCAAGTTCACGTTTCATGGCTTCCGCTTCGTTCAAGTTGATGGATGGCCGGGTGGCGCCCCATCAACCGAGGACATCAGTGCACTTGTCATGCATACGGACATGAAGCGGCGAGGGTTCTTCGAGTGTTCCAATGAATCTGTCAATCAACTTCATAACAACGTCGTCTGGTCTATGCGAGGAAACTTCCTCTCTATTCCGACCGATTGCCCACAGAGAGACGAGCGGCTTGGCTGGACTGGCGACTTACAGGTGTTTTGCCCAACGGCTACGTTCTTGTACGATACCTTGGGGATCCTCGGTAACTGGCTCCAGGATGTCGCGGCGGAGCAGCTTGAAGAAGGAAAAGGGGGCATCCCGCCGTTGGTAGTGCCGCTTGCCATCAGTCCTAATTGGCCTCACATCGCACAAGCTGTATGGGACGACGTGACCGTTCTCGCTCCAGATGCCCTCTACAAATACAGCTCCGACAAGGGTTTACTAGAGAGACAATTTGCCAGCATGCAAGCCTGGTTAGATCAAGGGGTCGACCGCGCCTCAGATGGCCTTTGGAACCCTGACAAGTGGCAGCTTGCAGATTGGCTGGATCCAACCGCGCCCCCCGACGATCCAGGCAACGGACGAACGGACAGCATTCTTGTGGCGAATGCGTACCTTGTTCACACGACATTGGTCTTCTCTCGACTTTGCGCTGAGCTAGGCAAAGCCGACCTGGCTGCAAGATACGCAGGTGATGGCGAACGGTTGAAGAAGCTCTTCCAGCGGCGTTACATCACTCCGGAAGGGAACCTGATGTCGAGCTCTCAGACCGGTCTTGCACTTGCATTCCAATTCGGTCTGTATCCGGACGATGCCTTTCAACGTCAGACGGCCGCAAAAGCGTTGGAAAAGCTGGTTCGCACGGCAAGGTTTCACATCAGCACTGGATTCGCTGGGACACCAGTCATCTCACATGCGCTCACCACGATCGGTCGACCTCAGCTTGCATACCGCATGCTTCTTGAGACAACGTGCCCTAGCTGGATGTACCCTGTCGTCACGATGGGTGCGACGACTATTTGGGAGCGCTGGGACAGCATGTTGCCAGATGGCCGCATCAATCCTGGCCAGATGACCAGCTTCAATCATTACGCCCTCGGCGCGGTGGCGGACTGGCTTCACGGAACTGTGGGTGGAATATCGCCCCTTGAGCCAGGGTGGAAGGTCATCCGCGTGCGCCCCGTCCCTGGAGGCAACCTCACAAGCGCAAAGGTCTCATTTGACGGGCCCTACGGAAGAGTGGCTTGTGAGTGGAAGCTCGAGGGCGGCAATTTCAAGATGAAGTTGAGCGTACCGCCCAATTGTTCTGCAGTGGTGACGTTGCCGTCGGGGTTGCGTGAGGGATTTGACGAGGATGGGGAACCTATGCTGAAAGTTTCTTCTGGCGTTCATGAGTTTGAATGTGCTTTCGAAGCTGGAGAGTGGCCGCCGAAACCGTTTGTGGCAGCAAACCAGCCCATGCCCCCGGACACGATCGCGGGTTAGATGAGTAGACGCATCTTTCTTGTCACTTGCGACCGTGCATGCGCATTAACTTGGGTATTATTGGGTTGAAGTTGGTATGACAAGTCTAAACGACAGGTGGTATAGTTATATCTCACAACCTCCCTTTCTATGGGGAATCTGGTGGTATCATAGACTGAACTGCAACTCATCATGCCTTATGCTCGAATCGAGGCGACAACCGAACCTTCATATAGGCTTCGTGCCCTTTCTTGGGATACGTGTCCAGGTATCTGTAACCAGTCGTCATATCAAGCTTTTGGTCCCAAAGAGAGACGTTAAAGTTGTATAAAATGCACGCGATCGTCTTCCGCAGAACCCTGTGAGCGATACTAAGGATAATAAATCAGCGCTAAGTGCCGTCGGCTTCCTAGTTCAGATCGCGACTTACTGCTGACCCAAGCAAGTTCGAGTTCCGGTCCCAAATGTCACAGCACGACTCCTCGCCTCCTTTGTATCCTCGTCAATGCCAAGCCACCTATCAGGATCGAAATTGTTTGGCTCAAGGTAAAGTTCTGGATCGTGTTCGAGAAGCCTTAAGGTAAAGCTCATGCTTGTCTATATGAAGTCAATAGGATGTTGGCTAGGAAGTAAATGATTCGGATTTACCATTGGAGGGATAACAGAGTCCTGGTATGTCACTAGTGATTGACTCTGTCTTGGCTGTCGATGCCATCCCGGAGAGCTTAAGCGAGTTGACTCTTTGCACACCGCATCCTGCCCAAGTCTCAGTCTCGAGCCATACTTAAGACACAGCACATATGCTTACCAGATACCTCAACTGCAGCACCCTCGGGTCTCGCCAGATTCTGTGGCCATACAAGCCAAGATAAAGTGTGTCGAGCTCATTCCTCAGTTTTTTGATACAATCCGGGTTTTGTACCAGGTGATGCAGTAGGAACGTGAGGTTACTGAGAAGCGACTCGTTTCCGATGAAGATGGCTTGCGATGACTCATGGATGGCGAGAGTCTCGCTGCCAATTTCGTTGAACATGCGAGCAAGGATTCCCTCGTAGGTATTCTCATCGTCCCATGACTTCACGATAGGTTTAACGTGATTGCTGACGAGCTGAGAGTGTGTCAGCACATGTGTTTCACATGTCCAGGAGAGTAACTAACAGTATCAAGCCAACCCAGTGGTGAGTAGGATCGAAGGATAGGAAGATGGTCGAAGATGAACTTAACGGGAGGCATACATCTCAAGACGGTGGCGAGGTCAATCGCGCTGAACGCTCGAGTCTTGTTGTGCACGGCTTCTAGGTCGAAGATCCTCAGAAACCCATAGTCCTCTTCGACAAGATATGACACCATAACGTCGTTGGTGAAAGCCCAAAAGTAGTGCGTCAAATTGACGGCGTCTTTGGTCCCGGCAACATCGTTGAGACGTTTGTAGAAAGACTCAAGGTGGTTGTCTAGAGTTGGTGTGAACTGTGCCAGCGTCTTCCCTGAGAATATAGGTCGCACTGCTGATGCTCTTTGAATGTGTTTCGTCGGACTCGCCAAGCCTCCGAGGAGTTTGTTGAGAAGTCCGTAGTAGTTGTCGCATTTCAGGAGGTCTGGACGCTTGTGATACTCCAGACAGAACTGGTGGTCAGTGAAGTGCAGCTCGTTTGGGCCGATTCTGACCACTGGG